TACAGAAGTATAAATCAAGAGGCAGCGCCCAGCCATTCATTCATTCCCGCGTAAGCCATGCAGAAGCGCTGCCATAGCGACTTGTGCGAGGTGGTCTGCAGTATGCCCGAAGACGAAATGGGCGAGAAGGAGAGCTTAGCCATAGCGATAGGGGTAGTAGTGGCCATAGCTGATAGAGGAGTGTAGCGTGTGTGTGTGTGTGTGGGTACAGTGTGACTCGTGTGGGATATCCAAGGTGATACTGTGTGTGTGAACAGAGAGCTGTACAGGCGCTGTTGCGCCATAGCCGTTTGAAGTGAGCTTGTATCTGAACTGTGTTTGTGGTTACCATATCTCTGAGTTCTGAGTGGGCGCTTGTCGCCAGTTTGCTGAGCTACCTGTTTACATGCGAGTTGTGAAAGCAAGTGAGTCTGATAGCAATTTTCAGATTTCAAAAAAAAAAAAAAAAAGGAACTTTATGAATTTAAAATATATGAGAGAAGGGAAAATTTGTTTTCGAATTTCGAAAAAGCAATGTTGAGAGCACACACACACGCTCACTCAACTCGACGCAGACTCGACACGACTCGACGGACGCAGACACAAAGTGGCAAAGTCGCAAAGTCGCAATCTTGGATTCCGAACACAATGTCACAGCAAGTCGCACTGAAGCACAAGCACTGAGGCAGAAAACTGGATGACCGACTCAAGTACCGGACTCAAAAAAAAAAAACGAGGGTAGAAGTGCAATTTGCCTCGGAGCTGAACTGAAAATCGGACATCTGAGCCTGGGCCAGAATGCCGGATGGCACCGAGTATCGAAATCCGAAAGTGCCAGAGGAGGGATTTGAGAACGGGCGCCAACTGCAGAGCGTGCCAACAGTCAGGATCCGGAGATCAGAGAAGCCGCCTGGTGGGTGGTAACCTGCGGACCAGGGATCGAGCCCTGGCTCAAGAACATTGCTTTTGGATGCATTGCTGTTTATGTCTTGCATTCCGATTCATCGTGCGTTCCTGTTTCTGTCTTCCTTTCTGGTTCTATTTGCCTTGATGAAAAATGGCAGCATGGTTTCAGATGCATTTCCAGTTTATCTCTTACGTTCCTCCCTCCTTCCCCCCCCTTCCCGTCTGACGCCTTCGCCTTCTTTGCTTTTGCGTTTCCCCTTCCTACCCTCCCCTCCATTCTCTCCGCCCCCTTCGCCTTCTTCGCTTCCCTCAGTATTAATAGATGAACAAAATGTGAGGATTGAGCCCTCAAGTAGGGGCCTTGCCATGATGTGCATGTTCTGGGCTAAGGCCCCAGCAAGCCTCGTGCCCACCCTAAGTGAAGGCGGGCCAGCAAATCAACAAGAGCCCTCTGTGCCAACATTTCACGAAGTGGGGTTCATACAGTTGCAGCACGCCAGTTGGTTGGTGTGCACCGAGTCTCGGATTTCAGCAAATGCTGAAAGCCCAGGGCCTCCGAGTTAGTTAGGCCCTGGGCACTCGAACGTGAGGCCGACAATGCATGCTGGGTAGAGAGGCCGAAAATGCCAAAGGGAAAATCGGCCCACTATCTGAATCTGGGCACTGTGTGGGTAACAAGGGAGAGTGTGGGGAAGAGGACACGTACCTGGTGAAGGTGGAGGTCGGCATTGGTGTTGACATCATCACTCGCTGGTAGTCAAGTTGTCTGTTTGCTGTTCATTGCTGTGGTTGTAGGATGGGCTGTAGAGTAGATAGGGCGCCTGGCGCCATTCACAAGAGAGAGCTACATTTGGGTTATGCTGTTGGTGTTGCCCTGTTGGGCATGGACATTGACTCACGATTCTTCTGTATCATTCTCAATTGGATGGTTACTCGGTTCCATGTGCTATCTGCTTTGGCTTTGAATACTTGGACTTCAGTGTGATTTTTGCATTCTGGATTTCTGTGCTTCGTCCATACTCATGTTCCTTGCAAAAAGCACAGGTGCCATGATACCGCAAACGTATCTACGAGCTCAAAGACCGCAGTTGCGACAAAAACATGAAGAGCACAGGTGACCATCCTTTTGATCATTCTTCTTTTAGCTCCCCCTTTACTGTGCCTCCCACATACAAGGCTCGCCACGTTGATGAAGTTGAGCGCGGGCTGCCCCACATCCACGAGTCTATCACGTGCGCGCACACACACACACAGACATGCCCGCCTCATGTGCTGTGTAAGCATAGTGCAGCATGAGTCTAAAAGGATATGAAACTTAGAACAAGCTCTGCAAGGGATGCCAACATTCAGGATGGGTTGGTCAGGGCACCATCAAAAATTTGGTCATGCCGCAATGGCTGACTGAGGTGCATCAGTGAAAGAGCCAGTTTGCTGGTTGAATTCAGTGCAGGGTTGCATCACGGGGGAGTTATGAATGGTACCGAAGAGGGAATATCAGTCCAACCATCAAAACATTGCGGACATTTGTGCATGTTTCCCATACAAGGGAAATAGTGAGGGGGCAATGGGGAAGAAGAGGCAAGGTGTGCGTACCATGTTTTCAGGGATTTCTGACAAAACAACACAGTCATCAACTGCACCATTGTTGTCCGGGGTTGTCAAATCGATTGGTGCAGAAGAGATTGAATCCAGGTCAATGGTGGCCACTGTTGTTGAAGGCCGTTGCAGACGAGCAAACGCTGCTGCTGTTGATGAAACTACTTCAACTGCTCATGCAAGTAACAGTTTTGCAAACACCAACAACGTCAAGCCATTCTCAGTATATTTTTCAAAAACGAAAGAAAAGTCGTTCTCAGAATCTCAGAAAGGAAAGGGGAACCGCGGTTGCAGGTGAGGTGGGAGGCAATAAGTTTGAAAATGAAAAAAAAGAAAAAAACAGATCACAGACAATAAATACCTGCCCAGACAAGGCTGTATGGTTTTTGACCCCGATTTCCCATGGCCACAGAAGCAAATCACTTTCCCAGCGACAGTTCTTCTTCCCCTTCTCTTCCTCCTATTGAATATGAACATTTTTTTTTTTTTTTTTTTGTGCATGCTTACACTTTACTCACAGAATGGTGTCCGTTTCAGTGCTGGTCCCCAGGACGCCCTGCTGGGGGAGGGTCGCCCGGGTACCCTCCTGGGAAGCCCAGGCCGGGCAGGGTCCGGGCAGGGTCCCGGGCGTTCCCAGCGCACAGTTCAAAAAAATAGAAAAACTAATTAAAAAAAAATTCCCCCAAAAAAATATGTTGTTGTAAAATAATACTAAAATTGCAATACGAAAAAGGATTCACTGAGGGCCACCTGAAAATTCCTTGCTAATTTTAAGATAAAAAATGAATTGCGTTGAGCCTCACTGCTCGACACCTTGAGCACGCACACACACATTGAGAGATCACACGAAATCCACACTGGAGTCCAGAACTGCAAAGTCCAGATACGCGCAGCTTAGAAATTCCAACAAATTATCACATTAAACAGTTTCGGAGATCCAGTCACCAAGAGCTCAACAGCGCAGAGCAACCCAATACCAGCATCCTCATCTAAGGTAGGTGACTCTCTTCTCTCCCTGGCTCACTCTCTCTTTCTTTCTCTCTGTCCCTCCTAGCCTTGTTCATCCATGCTCTCTCTCTCTCTCTCTCTCTCTCTCTCTCTCTCTCTCTCTCTCTCTCTCTCTCTCTCTCTCCCCCCCTCTCTCTCTACTTGAGAATCTTGACTCTGAATACATCCACTGCTACTCAGCTCTATCCCTACTAACTTATGCGGCTATGTCCACCTTCCCTCTCAGTGCAGCGCTGCTCAGCAGGGCTGTTGCCCGCATGTTACCCGCAGATAGCGCACAAGCACTTCACCAGCACTTCCACACTTCTCACAAATGAGCAATCTCCCGGAAATGTGGATGGCCAGTCCTTATATTGACTTGGACTGAGCCTCAACTTGTCCCAGCCTCTGCTTCCTTTGGCTTGATTTGGACCCGGTACCACATGCCCACGGCCTGCTTGCTTCAGAATGTCAAGGCCTGGTACTTTTCCCGATTTTCATTGCTGTGCTGCTGCTAGAGTCTGTGAGTCACGACTTTTCATCTGTGGAACATGACTTTTGACTGTGGGATGTGACTCTTGCCTATGGGACACGACTTTTGCCTTGTGAAGTGTCCTTTGCCTGTGGGACATGACTTTTCAATAAGACTTTTCAATATAAGACGTGACTTTTGCTTACAGAATGCAACTTTTGCCTTTGGGATGTGACTGTTTACCAGGTGCCTCTTAGACTCGACTCCTAAAGGTACCCGACTGTGACCATTCTGAACTCGCCAACTTGGCCTCCCTTGGCTTGAGACCTTGACCCTGAAATTCGAATTTGGGGCCTGCATCGTGGAATGCTTTTCACTCTCGCTGGCCTAACTTCGAGGTCCTCCAAGAAAGTTACAATCTTTATCTATCAACTATGTTGATTCCTCGTAAACCAGCGATCTTCAGAAGGCTCTTGATAAGCCAATCTGACTTCATACTGCCGCTAGGGCCTACCCCTGCATCCGGATCTATAGACATCCTCAGCAACAATGCAGTCGACATCATACTTTCCATCCATATCAGGAGGAATCATAGATCTGCGAGTCGGAAATAGCTCATTGCTGACACATGGGAGTAACTTGGAAGCATGAAACACCGGGTAAGTGTGCAAATGTGGGGGAATGTCAACAACATAGGAAGGACCATCCACATCACCAATCATATCGAGAACCTGCCACGGTCCCCTATACGCAGACAATAACTTCTGTGAGACTTTCTACTCTAGAAGAAACTCTTTAGACTTAACCCAGACCAAATCCCCTACAGCAAACTGCGATGGTCGGCGGTGCTTATTGGCCTGCTCTATCATCTGGGAAATAGCTCATTGTGACACAAGGGAGTAACTTGGAAGCATGAAACACTGGGTAAGTGCGCAAATGCGGAGGAATCTCGACAACATAGGAAGGATCATCCACATCACCAATCATGTTAAGAATCTGCCATGGTCCCCTATACGCAGGCAATAATTTATGCGAGACATTCTCCTCTAGAAGAAATTCTTTAGATACCACTCTTGAGAAGCTAGAATTCTAACCTTATGTCGTTTCCGGCTAAGGAAAAGTCTCAGGTAGACAGTTTCTATGGGGCGTAGGCCTCCCAAAGGGTAACGGAGGCGTGCAAAGGTTCCCTCAGGCTGGACGGAAATCAGCCATTGAGTGTGCCCGAAGTCGTTACCCTAACCTTAAATTACTTAAGGAGGGGGATGCCGAAGGCAGGGCTAGTGACTGGAGTGAAGTCGTAACAAGGTAGCCGTACTGGAAGGTGCGGGTAAATCAAATAGTTAATAAGATTTAACTAATCTTATTTGAATGAATCTTATTCCATTTTCTATTGTATTTAATAAACTAAAAAAGAATAGATTCTAATTCATGATCTATCTTGTGAAAATTATATATTCGATTTTGTCTATACGATATATATGTATAAATATTATTCATATATATGTCATATATGCATATATCAATAATATTAATTAATAAAAATATATCAAATATAAAAGAATATCAAATATAAAAATATATAAATGAATTTACTCAAATACAATCATCAATAGAATAATTATTATTATTTGATAGAATTCAACTTAGAAAAAATAGGAAAATTGCAAGAAATAAAGAATAATAATAAATATAAATAATAAATATACCAAAATAGGAAATACAAATAAACAGAATTTGTATTATATCTATTTATTTGATAATTTTCTTGTAAATTATTACAGATTATATATATTGAATATATTGATTCTAAATATATATTGAATATATTGATTCTAAATCAGTATATTCAAATTGATTATTGTAGATAGAAAAATTCATCACTAAATATGGGCGAACGACGGGGATTGAACCCGCGTATCGTGAAGCCACAATCCACTGCCTTGACCACTTGGCTACGTTCGCCTTCTTTTTTTCTATAAAATCAAAGAATAAGTTTATTTATACAATATATATTCATATCATTATCATATTTAGATAATATCTATTATATAATATCAATATCAATATATAATACTATTGATACAGTATTAGTGAATATGATATATTACATTAGAAGAATATTTTGCTATTTCATACTAATTTTATTTTCTTGAATTATCAATATCTCTATTTATTATTAATAAGATTTAAAATGTATTTATTCAATAACAAGAAAAATAAATAAAATAATATAATGATTACGGTTATTTCTCATGGTACGAGCAAAAAAAGTTCGAAAACTATAATAAAATTCGAAAAAAATACTGATATCTTAATACTGCCTGATTTTATAAGAATTCAGTTAGAAAGTTTTCATCGATTCATAGAAAAAGGCTTGCTAGAAGAACTCCAAAACTACTGAAAAATTTGCAATTAAGTAATACAAATCGTTTTTTAGAATCATGGTTATTTCACTACACAAAATACAATAATCCAGACCAAATCCCCTACAGCAAACTGTGATGGTCTGCGGTGCTTATTGGCCTGCTCTATCATCTGATGCTGTGCTTTCGCTATGTTTTCTCTTACTTTTTCTCTGTCCTTTTGATACTGCACAGCAAACTCTAGTCCCTGGTGGAAGTCTTTGCACTTGATCAGGGTTAAGACAATCAATTGGCCTACGTGGGCGCCAACCTAAATGTAGTTCCATGGGCGTTCGTGCTGAAGCCAAATGCACAGAATTGTTATAGGCACTAGCGACCTTAGCTAGATGTTCATCCCAGTCTATCTCATCTGGTCGGATGTACATGCGCAACACTTGTTGCAGCACTTTGTTCATCTGCTCGGTCTGTCCATTTGTTTCAGGGTGTCTACCTGAAGACATAGTCAGTTTGGACCCATACACACTCATAAGCTGTTGCCAGTGCTCGCCCGTGAACCTTGTATCCCTATCACTCACGATAGTCAAGGGATGCCCGTAGTCCTTTACCCAATGATTGAAAAATTCCCGAATCACTAGGTCCGTTCTAGCTTCCGCAGGGAGTGGTACCAAAACAGCAAACTTGCTAAATCTGTCCACTATCACCATAACTTGACTCTTTCCGTTTCTACTCTTTACCTTAGTGTCCATAAAGTCTATAGACACGGAGTCTCCAGGACCTGATGGTATAGGCAGCGGTCCAAGTAAACCAAGGGGAGGCTGTGTGGAACTCTTGTTCCGCTGACAAACTTTGCAGCCCTGCACATAAGCTATACAGTCATGTTTCATACCAGTCCACGTGTAGGAACGTAGGAGGTTAGCATACGTCTTCCTCCAGCCAAAATGTCCCTCGGTATCGTGGCATTCCCCTAGGATCAGACTGCGAATCTCTTCATTGTTTGGGATCCACAATCTGTCGTGCATATCCGTCTTCTCAAACAACAGTCCCTGGGTCACTCTATAATCCGGAACTTCGTGTGGTGTTGTCTGCACCTTGCCAATCAACTGACTATAGACTGGATAACTAGTGTAGGCGGACTTAATCTTCTCTTGTAATTCAGCGCCCACATCCAAGTTACTAGTGATGGCACCGAAGAAATCTGCTCACCTACTTAGCGCATCAGCGACAACTTTATACTTCCCTTTGATTGGCTCAGTTCGAAATCAAACTAATCAATCTCCCCAACCCACCTTGTCAACTTCATTCTAGCTTGGGTTTTCAGCCAGCGAAGTGTCTCATGGTTTGAATATAC